TTTTTTGCGGTATGTGGGCTTCTCACTGTTGTGGCCTCTCCCGTTGCGGAGCACAGGCTCTGGACGCGCAGGCTCAGCGGCCATGGCTCACGGGCCCAGCCACTCTGCGGCATGTGGGATCTTCCCGGACCGGGACACGAACCCTCGTCCCTTGCATCGGCAGGCGGACTCTCAACCACTGCACCATCAGGGAAGCCTCAAATTATTCCTTTTTAAATAACCTCATGTCACTTGACATTTCCATTCCATTTTTCTTCCCTTTCTATCTACTACCAGTTACAAAGCCAGGAAGGTAGTACTATAAACCATCTCTAGAGGGAAAAGGAAAAAACCCTTCAGCAGCCTTTCCAGAAGCATATAAAGGCCCTTTTTGCCAGGCTGGAACTCCCTCTAGGTCACCACAGTGTGTGTGTTTGTGTGTGTTTTTGTGTGTGTGTGTGTGTGTGTGTGTGTATTTGGATTGGGAGGCATACATGAGAAACAATACCAAGTCAAGGCAAAAGACACACTGCTGGTGTCTGTGACTGAGTTCCATCCTTCTGCCTGTAACTGCCTGGTGAGGGTGCAATGCATATCACTACATTCTGTGTATTTTGTCAGTAGAGAAGCTGAGTTTAGGTGAGGAGAGAGACTTTCTCAAAAACTTTCTCCACAAGCAGGTTGCATGTGGAATATAAAATAGAAATAAAGAGCCTAGGGAATTCTGTGAGCTCTAGTTCAGAGAGACCCAAGAGACTCTTGATCGGAGACACCCATTGCACAGCCTCTTCCGTTGAAAGCTCACCAGGGAACGAGCTCTGGCCATGGTCAGAGCCCATGGGTTCTAGTCCCAGCTCTGTCACCAATGGGCTGTGGAACCTTGCCAAGTTCCCTTCTCCTCTCTGAGAAATTGGGTGTCATTATGTGTCCAGGGGAGAGGAGTATGAGATAATTTTTGTTTTCCGCTGTTAATATTCTGCAGTGTTATAATTCTAAATCCCTGGAGTATGAAATCCCCAACTCAACGGAGTGGGTGCGATCATTCTGTTCTCTCCTTTGTTGTCCCCAGTAACTGAAAACTCAAGGCTGCAGCCCCAAGGTCATTTTCCTAAGCAAATGCGTGCCACAGTTGTCCAGTTATAGGGAGAGGAGATACAGGCTCCATGACCCCTGCAATGGAAATAATCCTGACTTTCTACCCTTCCCTCCAGTCAGAAGGTGACAGGGAAGTGAGACACCTCTTCCCAAAGCTCACTGATTCAGGAAAAGTATAGGATCAGCTCAGAAGACTTGAAAGTGCGTGCCAGATGGGTGTGGGAAAGTTTGGAGGGAGATGGCTGGGGGAGGGTATGAGGTAGGTTTGCAGACCACTGGGGTAAGGTTGAGGCATTATGGAAAATACAGGCCCTAGAAGCCTGGACTTCTTTTCCCACGTTGGGAGATTCTCTCCCAAATTTCAACCCGATGCCCTTCCCAGACCGAAATGAACCATGTTTATTTATTCAGGATTCACTAAGTGCCAACAACTACCACCCACCTGCCATTTACTGATGAATTCCTATATATCTGGCTTATAAGATTTAAGACGTTGACCCTGCCCACAAAGCTAGGGGACAAGTAAACCACCGAGTGGGACAGGGATTTTGTTGTAGCTGCCAGGCAGGGGTACCAGGGGACAAACGAGGCGCTGCCCGAGCTGAGTCTCAGATGTCCGTGGGTGCCCAGAGGCGGGGGTGGGCAGACGTCCTCGGCAAGGAATCCACCGGGCACTGGGTCCGCACAACGTGCGGAGGGAGCAGAGGCGCAGGTGCAGCTTGTGGGTGGTGAGGGCGCCGCGGCGGGGGATGGAGGCCGCGGGGCGCGGGGGCCTGACTCGCTCGCCGCTCTCCAGCAGGCGTGCATCCGGGCCTGCAAGCCAGACCTCTCGGCCGAGACGCCCGTGTTCCCCGGCAACGGCGACGAGCAGCCGCTGACCGAGAACCCCCGGAAGTACGTCATGAGCCACTTCCGCTGGGATCGCTTTGGCCGCCGAAACAGCAGCAGCGGCGGCGGCGCGGCCCAGAAGCGCGAGGAGGAGGGGGTGCCGGGGGGCGAAGGCCCGGGGTCCCGCGGCGATGGCGCCGAGCCGGGCCCGCGCGAGGACAAGCGCTCCTACTCCATGGAGCACTTCCGCTGGGGCAAGCCGGTGGGCAAGAAGCGGCGCCCCGTGAAGGTGTACCCCAATGGCGCCGAGGACGAGTCGGCCGAGGCCTTCCCCCTTGAGTTCAAAAGGGAGCTGGCCGGGGAGCGGCCCGAGCCGGCGCGCGGCCCCGAGGCCCCGGCCGAGGGCGCAGCCGCCCGGGCCGAGCTGGAGTACGGCCTGGTGGCGGAGGCCGAGGCGGCCGAGAAGAAGGACGAGGGGCCGTATAAGCTGGAGCACTTCCGCTGGGGCAGCCCGCCCAAGGACAAGCGCTACGGCGGTTTCATGACCTCCGAGAAGAGCCAGACGCCCCTGGTCACGCTGTTCAAAAACGCCATCATGAAGAACGCCCACAAGAAGGGCCAGTGAGGGCGCAGTGGGCAGGGCTTCTCTCCCTGGGAAGTCGACCCCAAAGCCCCACCTCCTGCCCTCCTGCCGCCTCGCGGCCTGGGTGAGGACTCGCCCAGGCGGTGATGGCGCCAGGTATTCCACCTTTTAAAGCTGTCTGTAGTTAGGAAATAAAACCTTTCAAGTTTCACATCCGACTCTGACTTTGAATATTGACTGGGCGAATAAAATAAAAATGCATATCCATCAAATAAAGAGCAACACATATTGAAGGAGCGATAGTGGTTTCCATGTGACCAAGTGGTAGTATGTTTCATAGGATATAGTGGGAATGAAAAGAAAATGTATTTCCCACCCGTGACAAATGGGTCTTCAAGGGGTCAAATAGTTTGGGTGATGGCTCAGTATGGCTACATTTCCCACTCTCCATTGGATGGGGAAGGACTGCTCAGCTGGCTGATGTGTCAAGAGGCAGGATTCCTCCAAGTGACCCTGCTTCCCATCCAACTCCATGAGCCAGCGGGAAGCCGATGAAGCCCAACCAAAACTGGGAGGACGCTCTGGGCTCAGGTGGCAAGCTGTGGTAATGCCTCCGTGAATCTAGCCATCTGGGACCTTGGGCAAGTTTCTGAACTTCTCCAAGATTTAGTTCTCTCATCTACTCCTTTCTTCCTTGCTACTGTGAGGGCTACTGTGAGGGTTAATGAGAAAATGGATGGGATCATGTTATCACTGAGAGGCTAAATGTGAGAGCTGGGGGTTGGTATCAGCTCAGATTTGACTGCCTTATCAGACTACTCTCAGTTATTCTGAAACACAGGGTCTCACCCACATAAACACACACCCATGGAGACACATCTGTCTAAATACAACACAAAATGCACAGATGCTTCTTCCAGTCCCTAGGGCTCAAGCCTTGAGGTGTGACTATCTTTTCCCCCTTGTCATGCCCAAGCTCTCTCCTCATGTCCAGCTGCAGCCTTCTCTTCATTCTCAGTGCTCGCGGCTCAGGCCTTAACTATCCTAACAGCTTCCTAACCAACTGGTGTCCTTGTCTCCAGTTGCCTTCTTCCCCAATCCATCGTACACATTCTTCATGTTAATGTATACAAAATCTTGCTTTCTCCATATTCCCTAGCTCAAGACACAAAACAATCGCCCCACCCCCACTCTTCCATCAATTCCAAACTACTGGGCACGGCACACACAAGGGCCCTTGTCCATCAGTTTCACTCTCCTTACCAAACCCCACTTCCCCTGGTCTTCTCACTCTTCTACCATCCTCCTCCACCCTCTGCCTGGAATTCCCCACATTCCCCCTCCATTTTGAATGTTACCCTTTTTTCAACATGAGCCCAGGCTGAAGTCCACTTCCACTGGGAAAGTTGGGATCTCTTGCAGCTGAACCTGCTCATTTTCAGGGTTTCTGCAGTCAGCCCCTCTGCATTGGGGGGGGGGGCATGCAGACCAGCTCAGATGGCAAGTTTCTTGCTGCACATGTCTTGTGCTTTTCTCTCAGGGAAACTCTAAGCTCCACGAGGGCAGAGGCCAGGGGTTGGGCTTCTTTTGTATGTCCCCATGATGTTTTCACAATGTTGGGGCCACTGGTTTGCAGTCACACACATTTACAATTCACAAGAGACTCACAGACACTGATACAGAGATGCACATCTGCACATCAATTGCATCAGACATACCAGGGGATGATGCAGATCAAAGCCAGCTGGGGAACGTTTCTGTATGGCACTTCCATATTTACTCCCATATATATATATATTTTTTTTCTGCAGTATGTGGGCCTCTCACTGTTGTGGCCTTTCCCGTTGCGGAGCACAGGCTCCGGACGCACAGGGTCAGTGGCCATGGCCCACGGGCCCAGCCGCTCCGCGGCATGTGGGATCTTCCCGGACCGGGGCACGAACCCGTGTCCCCTGCATCAGCAGGCGGACTCTCAACCACTGCGCCACCAGGGAAGCCCTACTCCCATATTTTGATGATCTTAGAAGCTCACAATTAAAGAAAACTGGAATGCACCTGGGAAGTCCTGATGGAATCAGAAAGCCAGGCTTTTAAGATAAAGTCTCCCTCAATGAGGGTTAAATGAAATGGGGCTAGATTCTAGTCACTGTAATGAAGAAATGGCCCAGGCCTTCCCATCTGAGGATGCGCCTATGCTGGGAATCCTGGGCCTTGTGTTTACATCTTGGTAGCATCCTTTCCCTTACCCTCCTTCCTTTTGAGGCGAGTAAATAATGATAGGCGGGGGTGGTTAAATGTCAGTGATTAATACTGGTGGCATTTTCAGATCCTGTTTGCATCTCAAAAAACCATTTACTTTAAAGAAATCAAATAGACAACCGTGTGGTGACAACATTAACATTTATTTGAAAAGGGCATCATGAAGGCTCATTGGGAAATCACGACTAATAGTCCTAAAGAATAATCTTGCTAAGAGTCCTTCTTCCTACATTCCACCCCCGCCCCCCCATCCTCCTTCCTATTCCTTAAACTAATTTGATTCAATGAGTTCAAAATACAGAAAACCGCCACAGGCACTAATTCTGCACTCACATATAAATACGTCAGCTATTATATACATACACTGTCAACTATGAACTACACTATACACATTTGCACGCGCACGGGCACACACACACTCAGCCAGGTCATGAACGTCTAAATGGACACAGACATGTCACAATGTATGTGTAATGCTGCAGCATTGTGGATTTACAGCTCTGCTCTCCACAGGCCAGAATCAACAGCCATGGAGGAAGAGCTCAAAAGGGGAAAGTGATGGGCTGGGGTCCCAAGGGCTCCTGAAGGAGAAAAGACCTGGTCAACCTGGTTGGTGCTAAAGGAGAGCACAGAAAACAGGCCACAGAGCCCCCTCCCACAGGCCTGTGTCCCCTCCCCACTTCCCCAGCTGGCAGGCCCCACCAAGACCATCCTTCGGCAGGCTTCAGTCCTAGGCCGGATTTGGGATACGGGGTATTTTAACTAGAAGATTTCTAGGCTTAGCAAGATGAAGAGGTAATACACTGCCCTAAGCCTTCTCCCCAGACATAAGGGAGCTGCCTTGTTTCAGCACAACTGCCTGCCAGGGTCTTTGGGTCTGGAGAAGTGGGCGTGGCCTGCTCAGAGGTGCCCACTTCCCTGTCTACCATCAAACTTAATATTCAGCCTAACAGCTCAGGCCTAGTCTTTTCCCACAGGCCCCAGCTGGCCAGCTGCCATTTCATGGTCATAAAGAGGAACTGGGAGAGATAGCCTCACTTCTCAGTGAGACCCTCTGTACCCAGGTGAGAAGCCCCAGGGACAATGGAATAGCAACTGGAAGGTGTCATGACCCAAGGGCCCCTAGTGAAGCCAGGAGGTCTGGCCTTTGAGGAGTCTAAACAACTGCAAGGCTGTTCTGATTCTTAGGCCAGTTGAAACACATCCTCTGGGACTGAGAACACCCAGGGCAAAGGACAGTGCATCTGGGACCCCTGCATTTCAAGCACTTCAGATGGTCCCAGCCCCACCTTCTCACTGCTCATCCATCTATTCTCATGCTTGAGGCAGAGGGCTGGACAGAGGAGAATGTCTGAGGACTTCTCTCCTTCTTCTGACCCACTCAGGCTACTTCTCTGGGGAGGAGATGTTTAGCAGTCAAGAAATCACTTATTTCTACTTTTCAAAAAGAGGAAAATGGGAACAGGCGCAGGCCATGGGGGACCACTTTGCAAGGAAAACCGGAAGGAGCCTCCAGGGTCACAGTGGGGCTCTCCTCTCATCTGCTTCTTATGCATTTATGTGACTCAACCAAGTTCACTGAAATTCCAAATATATCCATGCTACTGGGTTCTGTCAGCAGAGTGCTAACCGACCCTACCCCTTGCCCACGAGGAAGAGTCTTCAGCAGTTTTGGGGAGCGACTGGCTTGGGTGGCCTTGCTGACTGAAATTCACAACAGAGGGGTGGATAGCAAAAAGGGCTGGTTGCTTGACACGGTGCCGCCAGACGCCAGCAGGCTTGGAAGGCAGGAAGAGTGGTGCTAGGCTGAAGGCTGGGGTACCCACCAAACTCTGCTTGCCTTCTCTCCCAGGGCTTGGGAGGGCAGGGGTGGGGTGAAGGAGGCTGCTTAATCTACCAGGTAATTGTTCCAGTTAATGTTCATCATGAACTTTCTGATTCTGAGGCATCTTTGGCCAGAATCCGTATTCTACTCCATGTCAGCAGGCAAGTTAATATTCTACTGAGTGTAAATTTAAATTGGAACCGAGAAGGAGGGCACTCAAAATGTGGCCATGTCTCCAAAGGAAGCACATCTTTGCTATGTAGCGGTGACACAAAGAAAAAGCTGCTTCAGACAGAGGAAACAGCAGTGAAGTATATGAAGAATGGGAATCCTGCACCTTGTTTCTTCGATCTGTTCCCAGGGTGGGGATGAGGGAGAGACAGCTGATGGACAGGTAGGTCTCTGGTTCTAGTGCTGGTTCTAGAAAGAGGCTCCAGGGAATGACTGCCAAGTCCCAGAACCAGGGCCCCAGGGCAGTGCTCGGGGTGCAGTTGCCATGGGTGTGGACCCTACAGTCAGAGAAGCACTAGAGAGAAACAGGGCTTCGCGTCAAAGCTGAGCAGGGAAGAAAGATGGGAAGATCCAGTGAGGAAAAGACATGTTTGTGGCTCAAGATTTAGATTTTCTCTGAAGCTTCTTCCAAAGGTCATTTGTCTTCAAGTTTGTTTCCAGTTATTTTATTTTATTTTATTTTATTTATTTATTTTTTCCGGTACGTGGGCCTCTCACTGTTGTGGCCTCTCCCGTTGCGGAGCACAGGCTCCGGACGCGCAGGCTCAGTGGCCGTGGCTCACGGGCCCAGCCGCTCCTCGGCATGTGGGATCTTCCCGGACCGGGGCACGAACCCGTGTCCCCTGCATTGGTAGGCGGACTCTCAACCGCTGCGCCACCAGGGAAGCCCTGTTTCTAGTGATTTTAAATTTGGTTTCTTAATAAAGAGATATTAAAGTAAAGAGAAATCTCGGTTCATGCCTGTAAAGTTGGGTTGAGTATTAGCCAACAGCCACAGAGCAGAGCCAAAGGCTGTGGTGGAGGGGCGGGAGCCGGGCCCCCTCGGCCCTGTAGTCATGTAGACCCTCTGGAAGCCACAGGCCCACAGCACAGAGGCAGCAACCAAGGGGGGAAACTATAGGAACGAGGGTCAGGCAGCCCCCATACCCAACGAGATTATTGCACACGCAATAGGAAAGTTCCATGTGTTAAGATTCTCCTAATTTGGACAAATACACCTATCAGCCCTGATAATCAGGCTCTCACAGTGCATCTGTGCAGGGCCACGCACAGAGGTGTGACCCGAGGGTGTCCCGAGAAGACTGCCCTCCCCTTAGCAGAATCAGCCCGCTTCTGACCCCACCCCACGCTGCCGAAAATTGTACCCTCAAAAGGGGTTCCTTTGGGTCAAGAAATCTACTCACCCTCCCTCTTTTCACGAGCAAATTCTCCAGGAAGGAATCATGTGACTATTCTCACCTTCCTGTGAGTCATATCAGCTCAGAAAAGTTATGGGAAGTTAGACTGGAAAAGAAGAAGGAAAGGGCTCTTCTTGGCCAGAGGGAGCTGCCTCAGGAAGAGACCCAGGTGAGGTTCTGCCAGAGGCAGCTCACACGGGGAGCCGCAGGAAGAAAAGCATCAAAGAGGGAGAACTCAAGTCAGAAATACATCCCTCTGGACAAAGGAGAGGAGATACTACAGAGGGACGCAGACTTGCCCACTTTTGCCTGCTGCTCCTGGACAGGAGGCCGGCCCGTGCTTCTGCTCCCTGGCCCAGCCGGCCAGCCTGGGGACTCAGGCTCCCTCTGTCAGCGGCCTGCTGCCCCCCACGGTGTCTCTACCCCAGCTTCCGTTATACAAGCTCAGTATTAATTAACAATAGAAACAATTCACGAAGAGGCAACTGGCAGGGTGAGCAGGGGAATGGAAAAGACACCAGAGACTTGAAGGCCTTTGGACCCTCAACTGGGGAAGGAGGAGGGGACACTCTGGAGGAGATCAGCGCCCCATCTTCCAGCTCTCACAGGCCACTGCTTTACGGGAGGAGCTGGCCTTGCCTCCTCCTGATTGCAGTCTACGGCTTCCTTTGACCAACTGTGTCTCTCTCTAGTTCCCTCCTGGGGGAATGGCAGCTGCACACCCACCCCCGTGAAAGCCCTTCACTTACTACACTAATCAGGAGTTTCCTGGGACCTCAGCCTCTCTCTGGAGACCCCCAATGACTCTTGACCCCAGGATGACACAGAGGAAGAGACAAAGGGCACAGGTAGGATGCTTATTGGCCCCAGCGTGGCCAGATCTCCCTCAGGGAAGACAAAGAGGAAGCAGGGAGGCCGAGAGGGGGGCAAGGGGGCCCAGGGCTCCACCTTGCTTAGCTGTCCAAGGTGCTTTTTCTCTGAGATCCCAGTTAGATCTCCATGGCGTCGGGGTGGGCGTGAAGGCGAGCCCCTCCCTCAGGCTCCACCCCTCCGAGAAGCTGGGTCTTGGAATTCAGTATACGCACAGATCGGGAAACTTCATCTCGTAGACGGGGATGGAGTGGCTCTGAGGCTGGCCATAGGCTGCAGTGATGGTTCCTGATGGGCTTGGTGGGGGCCTGGGACAGAAAGACAAGGAGGGGAAAGGCATGAGGACGGTTCTGGGGTCCCGCCCCGTGCAGCAGAGCAGCTGACTGAGGTTTCTCTTGAATAGGGACCAGAGATTATGTCACTCCGTGGTTCCCAGGTTTCAAGTTGTTCTAGAATCTTCAGCTTGAAGTCAAGCTTTACTGCAGGCTCTACAGCGACTCTGTTGCTCTAGAAAGTACCAGCTTGTGACACTAGGACCCCCGGCTCTTTTCCAGGGTTCACTGAGCTGTCTCTTTCTCCCTTCAGTCTCTGTTTCCTTATCTGGGGAGACTTGGTGGCCGACTCCAGCCCTGGAGACAGAGGCTGGGGGCAGGGAGGGCTGAAGACAGGTGCGAGAGGAGGACTTGGGGGGAGGGGTACCTACACTGGGCCACAGAAGTGGGGATCCCCTGCCCAGGGCTGCCACTTACCGGATGGTGATTTCAAAGATCTGATTGAGTTTGCTCTGCAGCAGTGATGCCTAGACACAAATAGAGGGAAAGTGAGCCGGGGGCTGACACCCAAGCCCCCTGCCCACCATGCACTGGAAGTGCTGGACAGTTGCGGCCTTAGGAAAGAAACCGGTGTGAGCTCGTTTCCAGCACTTATCTGTGGACCCTGGCGGTGGGTTCAGATCAGAAAGAGCCGCCCAGCAAAGGCCTGTTGGGGACAGCACAGAGGCCAGGAACCCCAGGAAGGACTTCAGCAAAAGTTCTGGAAGAGCCCTTAGCTCCTCCAAGTGGGGCAATAGGGCCTGCTGGTCAGAGCCAGGAGGCTCAGAGCTGGTTCCAGCTCTTTCCTTAACTCCCAAGGAGCAGTTGTACAAAGTTGGTGCATTAGGGAAGATGTTCTCTCTGGTCCCTTCCGGCTCCACCTAAGTCCATGTACACAGAGAGTGAGATCGTGCTCAACTCTGAGCTCACGAAATGAGCAGCCTCTACCTCTCAGGATGGAACTAGAGGTCAGCATAATATAGGCCCAGAAAAATCTATATTATACTTATATGTATTTTTATATATAATTTATGCATTTTAATATATTACTATATATAATTATAATATATGAGAAGTTTATGTATATATATATTTGAAATATATATAATAGAAATTACATGTGTTTTTATTGAGAGGAAAAAGTACAATAAAATATAAGTTATTTGTAGACTTTGGATGTTTACAATTATGTTTCATTGTTATGAAGATGGACACTGGGGCTAACAAATCCTGGAATATCATTTTCAAGAAATGTTTGTGCTCTTCCCTTAGCCATCTACTCGTCTTTCTACTTGTCTGGCGCCCTCTCATTCAGATTCCTTTTCCAAGGCCAGGCCGTTCCATTCCACCTGCTGGGGTCCCCCAGTTGGAAGCGGGCCCTCTAGCAAATGCTGGCCATCTTTCCTGTGCCCTGGCCCCTTCCCCCATCACTCCATAATGTGACAACCCTAATGGCAACAAACTCGCAGAGTTGTCATGAGACGGAGATAAGCTGATAAATATAAGATGCTCTGATGAACAGCAAGTGCTATTTCCGTTCCTGCTCTGATGATTATAATTATTATAATCTATCTATTTGGTACAGGAGATCCTGAGGTCAGGGTTTCTCCCTTATATGAAAACTGTGACCTCTGGAGGGGTGTATGACTAATAGCCTTTAGGTTCATGGGGAAACAATGTAGTGCCAAGGCAATGTCGGGATCTAAACCCTAATTTCTGGATGACAACAGAACCAGGATCTCCTAGAAACTCAGTCCTGCGCTGGGCCCACATCCAGTGTCCGTTTGATCCCGGGAGGGGCACCGTTACGTCTCACTTACCCGGGCCCCACAATGCGCTGCAATCTCCTCAAAGGGCGCCTTCTGGAACTTCTCCACCACCTGTCGCCGCCGTTCACGTTCCTGCTCCTCGACGGCCACGCTGTCCACTGCACCACAGAGAGCCGGGTCAGTCCTCAGGTCCTACCCCAGTGATGCAGTCTAAGATTTCCCCCCAGATCTCCACTCCGCTGACGAGGGGCAGGGTAGCATGGAGGGTGCGATGTCATCACTTGGCCCTGGGAGGGCTAGACCCTTTTCTGATTCTGCCTGAGGGCTCAGCCCCCTTCCTTGCCTAAGAGTTTAACTAGCTGAGTGGACCCTTAAGTGGGGCTAAAGCCCCATGTAGTTGCATTGACACTGGGACTCTTAGATGAAAGTTCCTGGAACAGGAAGTACTCTGGGGGGAATATGAAAAGGGACGTCAACAGTGGAAAAGCCACAAAAGACAACGAAGAACCCCTATGGCAGAGCAGTCGGAGGCCATTTAGTTTAAGGCTTCTGCATATTCCTCTTGGTAGCCGAAATGAAAAAAAAAAAAAAAAGGAAGGGTATGAAATATGTTCATCATGCCCAGTTTAAGAAGGCAGAGCAGTGGGAACATTTAGAAAGTGTACCATGAATGACAACAAAGATAAAGATTTGTTATCAGTTATCGGAAAAATTCTCTAATTCAGGATACTTCATTGCCCAATAATCTAGACGAGGTAATACTGCATTTTAAAATCTACTGCCATTATTAAATAAATATTAATAGGACTTGTTCTTAATGGCTTTCATTGGTTAACTTTTTCTTTTGTATCACACTCCACCAAAAAATTGTCAAGGTATTTATACAAATTAAAATTGCAGGTGGGAGGGACGGAGACGCAAGAGGGAAGAGATATGGGAACATATGTATATGTATAACTGATTCACTTTGTTATAAAGCAGAAACTGACACACCATTGTAAAGCAATTATACTCCAATAAATATGTTAAAAAATAAAAAATAAAATTGCTTTTTACTTGTCTGATTGGCTGTAACCCTCAACTGACCACTTTTAAGGGCAGCGGTCAGTAGAAAAAGGGTTCCTGGCATAGGACATGGACACACACACACACCCCACCCCTGTTAAGAGAGGGGGACTTTTAATTGCAGCTTCAGTAGTTGTGAAGAGTTTAGAGGAAGCCACCAGCCTCTCCCCTCACACCTGTGTGAATCACACTTGCGAGGGCAGCAGACAGCTGCGCATACCCACACGCCTCTCCAGGACCCAGTCCTGTGATCCGCTCCCTCGGGGGCTCCCACTTACCAATGGCCTTCTTCAGCGTCTCATAGGTGATTTCTTCGGCAGGCACGCGCTGAGGGAGAGGGAACAGAAGTGCTCAGAAAGGGGGAGGGGGAAGCGGGGGGTGGGGAGGCAGCCTTGGCTTCCTCAGTTACCTGGCAGCCACTTCACTTCTCAGAAGAATGTCCTGAAGGGAGAAACTCCCTGAGGACACCCACATTCTCACTAGGGTCTCTGGAAGCTGCCTGAGTAGGCACAGAGCCTCCAACTGAAGGCGAGCAGGGAGAGAGAGAGGAGGGGAGGCTACTGCCTCACCAGTCACAAGTCTGGCCTGAAAGAACTCACCGGCCCCTCCCCACCTCGCCCCCCAGCGGGTCCCATTAAGCTCCCTGGGAAGAAAACACTGTAATTCAAACAAATCTTCAGAGAACTTAACAGAAAATATTCGAAACAAGAGAAGGCAGTTAGCAAATATAATCTCATATGAAAATTTCAAGAACTGACTAACATTTTTTTTTTTTTTTTCGGTATGTGGGCCTGTCACTGTTGCGGCCTCTCCCGTTGCGGAGCACAGGCTCCGGACGCGCAGGCTCAGCGGCCATGGCTCACGGGCCCAGCCGCTCCGCAGCATGTGGGATCTTCCCAGACCGGGGCATGAACCCGTGTCCCCTGCATCGGCAGGCGGACTCTCAACCACTGCGCCACCAGGGAAGCCCCTGACTAACATTTTTGAAGACTTCTGATATTAAATTATCCACCAAGGTGATGTGAGTATTCAATAAAGGTAAGGCATACTGAGGTTGGTCCAAGGACCTGGGTCACAGGATCTCAGTGTCCTGGGAACCCATAAAAGGAGGTGGAAAATAATAAAACCCAAAGAAGGGTGTTCTACGGATGTGTGGCCTTAGGTCAGATGCTGAAAATTGTGAAGGAGTTTGGACTAAATTCCAGGAATTCCCCACTAGACTGTGAGCTCCTTGAGGCAAAACCCATGATTTATTCATATTCTATTACTTAAATGTAATGTTACATGAAAGAGGCAGACACAGGAGAGAATGATTTCATTGATATAAAGCTCAAGAAGTGACATAAGTTGGGCTAGTGGCTCCCTCTAGGGAGGGGGTACAGAGGCAGGGCTCCTGGAAGACAACATTTTAGTCCCTGACCTGGGTGTGAGTGCATCAGTGTGTTCACTTTATACACTCAGACAATTCGCTGAGCTTGGAATTCCACAAATGCTTGTTCGAGTAGGAGTGGACAGAGTTGTAGGTATGGGATAAAGTCATCCAACAAATATTAAGTGAGCACCAATTATGTGTAGGATTCTTGGCTAGTCACTTAGTCGAAATTGCAAAATGTATTACTATAGGAATTACATGCAAGAGAGTGCTATCATTCACTCTGAAGATTCATTCACTGTGAAGGTTCATCCTCTGTAGGTCTGTCCATCCACCCACCCATCCATCCATCCATCCATCCATCCATCCATCCAGTGTCAGCACTGACCAACATCAGATATTCACGGGTAAAGCGATAGGAAACCATGTGGTGGTGGGAGAAAAAGGAAGACAGATCACTGGGTAAAGGCAGGCAGAGAGGAGCTGATGGAGGAGATGGACCACAGGCTGGATGTTGATGAATGGGCGATTCAAGAACGTAGAGGTGGAGAGGAAGGGTGATTCCGACATGGGATTCCACACTAGCAAAGACATGGAGGTGCATGAGATAGCATGAGGGAGACTGAGAGCAGACCAGCCAGAGAGGAGGGGAGATGAAATGAAATGGGAGGGCATCCCTGACTACAAATGTCTCTGAATGCCAGGCACTGGGTTTGGAATTTAACCAAACCAGCATTTATTGATCACCTGTTATGAGGCTGGCATTTGAGGCTACAGGGAGTTACTGTGAGATTTTGGAGGGGTGGGGGGGGCAAGGTGGGCTGGAAGTGGAAAGAAGTACAGCACGGCAGAAGGGTGGAGGCTCCCACACCCCTGCTTTCGATACCAAGCCATCCCCGGGCTAAGCTGACTCTCTGAGGGGGAGGAACCCATGATGCTGACCGGGGGGGCCACGAGGGAGCAGGCGGCTGTGTACCCAGGTGAGCATTTCTCTTCCTTCTTCTGCTTCACTTTACTTATCAATTCCTGAGGGTCTCTCAACTCTTGGGAAGGAAGAATTACAACTATTGAGGGGATAGCAGTCAACTCACGCTGTGCTCCTAACACGTGAGGTTCCCATCCCTGCAGAGCTGGAAGGGCCTTGGAGGACACCTGGCTCAACCTCACGTTGCTTCTCCAATTAGCCTGAGTCAGAGCTTCCCTCCTTCCATGGGAAGGTTCCAGACAAGCTTGGAAAAGCCCTGCCCTGGAGGTATGCCCTAGTAACCGAGGAGCTGTTGGAATGGCTGAGGGCACAGTTAGGGGGAGGCTTGACCTTTACCCCACTGACTTCTCCTTGCTCCAGGCCCATCTGGGGAAAGGCTGGGTGTCCAGGCTCTCCTTCATAGCTACTCCAGGCTGTCCATGCCCAGGGATCTCACAAGTCTCCTTGTCCCAGTCCCACCCAGATGTGCATCTTCCCTGCTTCTTGCTAAGGTTTCCCTGCGTCTCTGTCTCCGTCAGCTCCCTTAATTGGCAGAGTTACCATTTAAAACAAGGGTACCACATCCTGGGGCTTCAGTTCCCTCGGGATGCCTTTCTCCCTCCTCACTGCCCCGCCCACATATCTTTTTCATTTTAGTGAGTAAATTTGGTATTTCCACTAAAATTCTTTATTCCCCCTTACTTGTGGGTACACCTTCTTTATTTTCTGAGGTAGAAGCACTACCGTGCAAAAAAAAAAAAAAAGCATTTTTCTTGACATATCTGGAAGAAACATTGTAAAAGCTATTCTTGCCCTCATCTTTTCTGTGAGGCCTTCCAATTTCAAACGTGGAGCACGTCCGCCTCCATCATGAATAGGGAATGACTACCAGCAAGGCTTTCAAGACTGACTTTTATAACATGCTCATGGGAGTGTACGGGGTGGGGGGGATTCGGTAATTTTTTCCAGATGGAAATGTCTAGGATACTTATGATAAGAGTCAGTAAGAAAACAGGACTTACTTGAGAAATTTACTTTCTGTGCAACTTTAAATGTGTGGGGTGGCTAAGGGAGTCTAGATCGTGGAGTGTCTGACCATCTAGCAGGTAGGAAGAGTCCCCTCCCGGGAGGACACTGAGCTTCACCAGGACAGTGGATCAAGAATGAGACACTCACCTCCTCCTTCTCTGGGCTGTTCCTCGATTCTACCTCCACCTGCAGGGAAATGGTTTCTCCAATGCTCTTCCTCTTGGATAAGCGATCCTCATCTGGGAAAGGAGGATAGAGAAGCTAGAGTCCCCAGCCCCTGCAGAGCAAGCCAGGATCATGCCTCCAGCACCATCTCCCAACCCCCCTGCCTTTGCCTGGTCCACAGTCCTGGGAGGGTTCAGAGGGAGTTTATACGCTGGGGCTACAGCTGGAGTTTACGGAGGGCTGCGGGCCTTCACCGCCCATCTTAGGGCGGTGAGTTTTGCTTTTTAGGGCTAAGATTTTGAAATTACTGATGAGCACAAAGAAGCCGCTTATGACCAGAAAGCATATCTCAACTTTCACAAGGGTCATCTGCTAACAGCACCAGCAGCTGTCATTTGCGTAGCATTTCCTACTACGGGCATCTGCCTCTACCCTCTAAGGCAGGTATTGCTAATATCCCTATTTTACAGCCAAGGCAACTGAGACTCAGGGATGCCAAGGGGCTCGTCTAAGATTCTTCAGGAAGTAAGCTACAGAGAACTGGCTCTCAGACTCCACAGCCCATGTGTGCTCTTTCCGTCACCGTGGCGTCTCTCCCACGCACAGGCCAGGCTATCCCGTGGGCCAGTTACTCCCAAGGACCCTGCACTGAAGAGGAGAGGTGGGAAAATCAAGGATCTCACCATGGATTTCCACTGTGTCTTTCAGCTCTTGTGTGACATCTAAGGTGCCATGGAAGGTGACCGAAGGACTCACAAGTCCCTTCCTTTCAGGCCCTGGCCAAGAAAAGCCAGAGGCAGGCTCGGAAGTCCTCAAGCAGGGCTCCTACCTGTCAGCTGAGGGATGTAGGGCAGGCAGAGCCTGTCTGCATTGTAACCACTGCCCCCCAGGACCTCACTGATGTTGCTCTGGCGGAAGAGAAGCTCAATCACCACTCCATCGATGTTCTGAGACAGCCTGGGACACAAAGGAGGGAAGAGGCAGATGAGAACCATGGGGGACTAGAGTGATTTCCTGATGACCTTCCTTATTTATTATTATTATTTTTTTGCGGTACGCGGGCCTCTCACTGCTGTGGCCTCTCCCGTTGCGGAGCACAGGCTCCGGACGCGCAGGCTCAGCGGCCATGGCTCACGGGCCCAGCCGCTCCGCGGCATGTGGGATCTTCCCGGACCGGGGTACAAACCTGTGTCCCCTGCATCGGCAGGCGGACTCTCAACCACTGCGCCAACAGGGAAGCCCGACCTTCCTTATTTTAAAAGTAATGCTCAAGGCAGTTCCCTGGTGGCCTAGTGGTTAGGTTTCCCGGCTTTTACTGCCGTGGCCTGGGCTCAATCCCTGGTCAGGAACTGAGATTCCTCAAGCCACACAGCAAGGCTGGAAAAAAAAAAGTAACACTCATTATACAAAAGTGACAGAGGAGCAAAAGGAAAAAAAACCACCTACAGTCCCACTTTCCACATTCAGATTTTGTGCAGAGTCCCTCAGTCACACACATTTTTGCACACACACAGACATCCCCATGGCCCCCACTGTCCTGTTCTAGGATCTATTTTATTCACCTGTTATACAGTGAATATTTCACATGAACTATTCTTTAAAAACACTTTGGATGGGCTACCAGTTGTCTAGGGTGTGGATGGGCCACCATTTATAAAGCCATCCTCTATTGTGGGATATTTTGTTTTTTTCAGAATATCTTTCCCTTGAGTCTCTCTGATGCTGAAGTGATGTTGGCCCACACGCTGCAGGCTGAGAAGGCCACTTGGATTGGTGGCACTGTCTTGTCAGGAAGGACTCCTCCAGGATTTGTTCCCATGGGCTTGGTCAAAGTTCCCAGAGGCTGCATCCCATATTCTACGGTACAACACACTGAGATGGCTCAAGGCATGAATTATGGTCAGGTGAGGGGATCAAACTTGACCCAGGACTTCTGGGTCATAGGCGTAGGGTTCACTTTCTGCCCTTGAGCCCACAGAAGCCCAAGTCCCTGGCCTCAGACCATCCACTTCCTTGCTCAGCTGCTTGGGTTGTCCTTGAGCACGTCCTCAGCGTTCTCCTCACCTGGGCCTCTCCACAAACACGTCCTCAGGGAGCATGTACGGAGCCTCTTTCTTCCTGCTCTCTATCACCTGAGGTTTGGGAGGAATCGTGAGAAAAGCTGGGTTCACCAGGGAGAGGGAAATCCCAACAGGCCAGTGAAAGAGTTCCCGCTCCCCTGAGCACTTCCTCCCTCCCACGAACCCCCTGGAAGAGCACCCACGGCTGGGCTTCTGAGGGAGAAACTCAGACCAACAGGGACCTCAGGGCAGCCTGTGAAGCCCAGGAGGACTGCTCAAGCTGTCTCCAGTGACACACATGCATTAAGTGTCCTCCAAAGGCAGGGGACTTAGCTCCCAAGAGAGTTCAGTTTCTTGCTCCTGTGTCCTATTCCTGTTTTCTGTTTAAATGCAAAAAAGGGAGCATAGGTCTCACTGTTCCCCAAACCAGGTGCGCTGCAAAAACACCCTGATGGAGAGTGCCATGGTGAGTCTCCCTCAGCATCCTTTGCAAAGTTTCGACAAGAAAGCTGAGTTATTAAGATGCTGAGAAGTGGGAGGACGCTTGGCATGAAAGTATGTGCAGGAGGTGAGGAAGCCACGATGCTACTATTTTTACTGGAGAGGATGTGGGGGCATTGCCTTTCCTGCCCTCCTGGATCAGCCCAAGGCTGGGAAGATCCTGCCTCATTCAGGGTGGCCTCTGACACAGCAATACAGCACCTTGCTCCATGCCCCCAGCCAGCCCAGGCCAGCTGAGACCTGAGCTTCCTTGTTTAGTTTTATTTTGTTTTGCTAGTGTATTTTAAAGTTAATCCTACGTATTATATCATTCTACCTATACATAGTTCAGTATGTCTTAAAATGCCTTTTTGCAACAACTGAGAACATTTGATTATAGACCGGGTATAAGATAATACCAAGGCATAACCGATAATTTAATTACGCATGTAAATAGCATAGCAATTAGGTAGAAAGGTGTCCATAATTTTTTGGACACATACTGATATATGCAGAGGTGAAACGACATGATAGTCAAGGTTTGTTTGAACACATTTCAGCAAAGAAAACGAAAAGGAGACAGATGAAGCAAATGTGGAAGAATCTTCATAACTGTTTAGTTCGTGTGACAGCTGTGTTCACCGCCCTACTCATATTGCTTTTGTGATATTTGAAAATTTTCATAACGAAAACTTTCCTTAAAGTAGCTTTAGTCCCAGATGACCTGAGAGATGTGGGTATGTGCGCTTCCGGGAGTGGGGGGAGTATAGAGGGGCCGGAAGTAGAGGAGGGCAGGTAGCAGGTTGGGAAGGGGTACAGGATACTGCCTGTGCCTGACCCTGCCCTGCTATGTCATGTCGTACAGGAGGAGTCACTACCGCTGAGAATTTCTCATCATTAGTTCTCATGCCTAGACTAAGCACAGGGCTCATGCAATTAAGCAAAAGTTGTTCTGGGGAAACCCCAAGTCAAGGGCCTCCTGAGCTCTCAGGGTCATGAGGACACCAACCTCACGGATGTGCTGGCAGAAGGCAGGCACTGTTGTGAGTTGGCTGATGAGGTTCAGGTAGGCGGCACCCAGCGCGTAGAGGGCACAGCGGTTGTAAACAGGCAAGTTCTCTTCATTGACCTGGGCCACGTCCTGTGGCAACACAGAGGGAACAAACTATACTGGTGCCCCACCCTCCAGCCACCCTCTACCAACCTCCTTTAGAGGTGGCCCGCTACTCAAGACAAAGCCTTTTCCAGCATTTTCCCCATAACTTCCTGGGGAACAGAGGTCACCCTCACTAAAGCTGAAGCAAATGGTCCTTAGAACAATCCATGAGCTGGAGGCTCATAAATACTTGAGTGGAGAGGCGATGACCTCAGTGCCCCACTCTGCAGTTCCAGCTGTAGGGAGCTCGACTGTCCAAACCCTAATGAATCCCACCTCTAGGATGCTGTCACCTTCACTACAGACCCTGGATAATTCTCGGAGGACTGGACTGGCTTGCTAAGCTGGGTTCACATGTTAAACTGACAAAGCTGTGTGAGTTACTAGGGGATCGGGACACAAAGGAATCTCAAATTCTAGAATGAGGACAATCGTAGCATCTGGGTTGGCCTTGCAGGACTTAGCACCATCAAGCAGGTAGCTGAAGAGTCTCCACCACACAATTCCAGGTTCTCCACCATTCAGGACATGATGCCCACCTAGCCTCAGGGCCCTGCTGACCCTGGCCTTTGAGGTCTGAAGGACCCGCCCCAATTCCCAGCATCCTGAGCAGTAGACTTCTACCCAGGCAGACTGTGAAAGTCTAAAGCCCTATCTAGTGCCACACTGGCTGCCTGAGAGTCACGAGGGGAGCTTGTTGAATCTCCAGATCCCCAAGCTTGGGGACAGAACTGGGAATATATATTTTTATTTTTATTTTTTGCGGTACGCGGGCCTCTCACTGCTGTGGTCTCTCCCGCTGCAGAGCACAGGCTCCGGACGCGCAGGCTCAGCGGCCATGGCTCACGGGCCTAGCCACTCTGTGGCACGTGGGATCTTCCCGGACCAGGGCACGAACCCGTGTCCCCTGCACTGGCAGGCAGACTCTCAACCACTGCACCACCAGGGAAGCCCCATATATTTTTAATAAGTGCTTAAGGCAATTCTGAAGCACAGCCAGGTTTGGGAACTAGGTAATCTTTAGACAAACAAGTTTGTATGGAGATCACTCCGGGCTTATGGGTACCCTCTTGGCAATCCTTGGAGTCTCATTCAGACCTTGCAAGAGACCCAGAATACTAGGGTGAAGGGATATTTTTGAAAGACCCTGTTTCCCGGGTCTCCTTTACTCTGAGGATGGGCCAAAGCCATGAATTCAGCATCCTTTGGTGGTTCCCCAAATAGGACCATGGTTTGTGGTCTTCATGGAGGAATGGCCAACCAAGGGTGCAATATTCCTGGGCTCCAGAACAGGTGTTAAGCAGTGGCTACTTGGCTCTCTCACTAGTGCTTGGCCAAAACAGGTGCCCTCCCCCGATCCCAACCCCTATGTCCCGCCCACAGGGGGCCCCACCTGGACAGCCAGCACCAGGCGGATGAGGTCTACCACCACCTCCTCGTTGGCCAGCTCAATGCTGATGAGTGCCAGCAGGCCGTAGAGCGCCTCGTAGTGCTTCTGTATGTTCGTTTCCTCCTTACAGCTCAGGTAGATGTGTCTGTAGAGCTGCTGGGAGTGCTGGAGATGGGGACAAGGGTGGAGGCAAGGCCACGGCGGGCAGGGTGGGGACAGGAGGGGCAAGGAGAATGGGAAGAGCAGTCTGAAGGGGGCGATGCAGCTGTGTGTACCCCACCTCCGCCCTCAGGGACAGGATGCCTTTAAAGCAGACCCCAGTGGAATCGGGCAGTGCGGGAGTATGTGCTTAGGGAAGGTGGGTCCAGTGAAACCAGCAACAAAAGCTGCTGCCCAAATCCAGTTTTAGAACACAGCCAAGGGATGCTCCTCACTCTGGCTCGGTGCTAAGTATGACCTGGGGGCTTGATCCCCTAGAGGGGTCGGCTGGTCATCCGGACTAAGCATAGTCAAAGAGGAGGAAGTGGGTTCTAGGGGCATGGCCAGTGGCGACTTGGGAGCTGGAAGACTGGGGTCCGCAGGGCCTGACCCACCCGGGGTTCACTGTGTCTTGAGGTCACGCTTGCTAACCTTCTTCATGAAGATGGTGTCCTGCCGGGAGCACTTGTCCACTTTCAGCTTCAGGACAGAGATGTCGCTGAGGGTACTGGGAGGGGACGTGAGGGGCCACCTCAGTCAGCCCTTGCGCGAGGCCAGCAGAGCTCACATGGTATCACTGGGCTCCATCCCAGTGTTGTTAGTTGTACCAATGCCTCTCTGTGTCCTCCTGCCCTGGTTCTTAGCCTGATCTCCACTTTCTCCCAAGTTCTCAAGCTCCTGTCTCTTTTTTCTTAAATACTTATCCAGATTATCCTCTTCCTCCCTTTTCTTCCTCCCTTTCAGCCCCCCAGTCTCAACTGATAACCCTGCATCCCCTTCTTTCCTCCCCACCTGAGAGCTCCCTTGGGTACCTGCTCTTTACCTCCCAAATCTCCCTCCCTTGCTCCACCAGGCACAAATGCCCCTTCAGTCTCTCCTTCCCTTGTAGGACCCCAGGGTCCATGTCCATGATTAGCTCCCTGGGGGAGGTCCCACTGAAGATCTGAATCGTCTTCCCACCTGAGTGTGAGGTCCTAATGGGAGTCTCCTCCCCCATCACACACCAAATAGAGGGGAGACCTCAAGTTCACCTGATGGTGGAGAACTTGTGACGGTTGCCATGACGATCAATGAAACTGATGAGAATCTCTAGAACGAAGAGACGGATCTCTGCGTCCTCCATGAGGGCGGTGGAGAGAAGGCGGTCAAGGAAGTTGCTGGGCAGAGCTGACATCATGTTGTTGCACTGGAAGCCGGTGGATACCTGCAAGGGAGCCCAGGATCATGTGCTTACGAACGCCGGCCCTCCTGGCAGCAGTGAGGAGACTGAGGGGCAGTCGGCAGAATTTGGGTCTGAAGCATCCATCCTGTCTAAACATCTCCCAGCCCAGTTTCCCCGTCCTCCACCTTAGGCAGCTTTTGGGAATCCTCCGACATCTACCTAGGCAACCCGCCCAGCTCAGCTTAGCTAAGTGGATGGGGACAGTATGCAGGGACATTAAGTTACTAAGAGCAAGCAAAGGATGAGCCCTAGAAGAGAGAAAAAGCCAGGGAGCCTCTGAACCTAATGTTCCAGCCCATTAGGGCACAAATGGCGAACATTCACCATGAACACGCTTCATCAGGAGCACGAACAGTCACAAAGAAGGAGAGACAGTGGAAGAAGTTACAGCTGGGCTGAGGAATTAGAACCCACGGACATGGCAACAGCCAAGAGCACACACAGCATTTGCTTACATCTCTTCTAGCACGGCCATAACGAGGGTCTTCTGATTAAAGCCAGCAGGCGTACAGAGACACCTCACCTGTGATGGTGTCAAAGTAGTTAAAAGCAGCAAACCAGATTTACTGTTAAGTCCATATTGCAAAACAAGGCCTTTGATGATTCAGCAGGCCCTTGAGGCTCTGGTAAAGCCTGGTGGCATCAGTAGTAAACATCAATGTTCACTGAAGGGGGAAGTATTTGAGTGTGCCCCAAACTGTCACCTTGGTAAGACGCAGGGTACAAATTAATGACGGTAAACTCAGCAAAGAAATGGCAGGAGTGCATAGACAAAGGAGGTACCAGATGTGGGCAGTGTCAGCACAAAAAGACTTTATAAAAATAGTGTGACATGAAAGGTGTGGGCTGGAGAGAGGGGAGGGAGGGCATGAGCGGGAGTGAAGGGGCTGTGCGAGCGGCATGGTTAGAACAGAGACGGGTTGAGGGGTCACATGGGGGGTCTGTGGAGGGAAAGGGGACTGAGGACCTTCCAATTTCAGTCTGAAAAGTTTGAAATCTGGATGTACATCAATTAGAAACTGAGATTTACTCTTTAACAAGGAGCAACACGTGAAGAACAACATTTCTAGAAAATTCTTCTTGGTTGTATTTATGATAGGTGAGGAGGAGGGAGCAACTATGAGAATAATCTAGTTCTGAGATGTCCAGAGTTTAGGCCAGGGTTGTGCCTTGGGGAGCTTGTTACAAATACAGATTCCAGGACCTCACTCAGACTAATGGCTCAAAATCTCTAGGGAATCTATATGTTAAACAAGTTAGTCATAGGAACAGCATTTGAGAACAATAAATCTAGCCTCCAGTGATGGCTGCAAAGAAGACAAATGTAAAAAAAATTGACAAAGGGGGGGAATTCCCTGGCGGTCCAGTGGTTAGGGCTCGGCGCTTTCACTGCCGGGGCCTGGGTTCGATCCCTGGTCGGGGAACTAAGATCCTGCAAGCCGCATGGCATGGCCAAAAATATTTTTTAAAAAAATTAAACGTTAAGTTAGATAAAAGAATTATGGTTATTTTTTTTTTTAAATGGATAAAGGGAAAGATAGTGGCTGGGGGACTGAGGTGGGCATAAGTACCAAGGAAGAAACAGGTGGAAGGGACCTGGGGAGATACTTGGAGGGAAAAAGGGCAGGAACCAATAGAGTCCATCTCAATACAGAGATAATGTTTGAGTGACAAGGCCAGCAGTAGCTGAGTAGCAGGCATCCTGCCTGCTCTGGAAGACCCAGCCCTGTGGGTACCCAGCCTGGCTAGTGAGTGGAACACAGGTTGGATTTCAGCCCCCTACTCACCCCTTTGGCTGGGCATGTTTGTGCAGTGTGCAACCTGCACGACTGTTATGTAGTAGCCTTGTCTTGTTTCCTTGGAAGGAGCTGCCTCCTACAGAGGCAGAGCAGGAATGGGGACAGGAGAGGCTCACCTGAAGGAGGGATTTCAGCAGCATAATCTGGGTCAGCCGGTTCCTGTTCTCCCTATAGACCAGAGACACAGATGATCACCAAGATGGTGATATAGGCAAAGACCCCACACTTGCCTGCCCAGTTCTCTCTCCTGATTAGATTCTCCATGAGGCTTATCTTGGGTTACCCAGGACAGTGCCTTCCAGACCAGGGAACTAATGGCTCCCCCCAAGGTGGGAGGTTGTTATTGGTGGGACAGACTGAGGAACTGTAGGAGCCAAAGGCCCACTAAAGGCAGCTGAGGGATTTGAGAGTAGAATGAGAGAAGACAAGTAAGGACAGAGCCAGGAAAGTTGAGGTGGAGAAGGGAGAGAGCCCCAAAACGTGGGATGGGGAGTCAGGTGGAATTTAGGCTGGGAGAGGAAGGGGGGGGAAGGCATGGTAGACTCACCCGGTCCTCCCCATCTCCACGGGGTGATGCAGGGAAGGCAGTGGAACCTTGCTCATGGTGAAGAGGATCACCTCGGAGCGCTGGTAAGTAGGCAATGTGCTGGCAAAGGAGCCTTCAGGAAAAAGACAGAAGAGAGGGTTTGAGGCCGGCAGCTGCTGGAGTCTCCGCTCAAACTTTCAGCTGAACAAACTACTGTGAAGAGTGCGGGCTGCTTCTCTAGGGAGACGATTAAGACCCAGAGGGAGACACCTAGATGACGGCAGAGGACTCTTCCAGGCTCCCGTTCCTTCACTTGTTATTTCGGAGGCTGCGGTTAAGGTCTCCGGGATGGCGAAGCTCCAGTGGCGCTAGGACCAGAGGGCTCTGAAAGTGATGAGCCCTTGTATGCACATGGTGGCTTTATGGTTCTCCCCTTCCACATCCACGTGCATATCCATGGCCTTCTCCCTGTCCTCTTTCCTTCCTTTTCTCTTTCTCCCACCTCCCCTCCAATCGCTCAAACGTGGAAGCATCAGGCGGCCCTAATGGGGACTGGGGTGCGGGAAGAGTTCGCCTGTCTCAGCCTCTGATCTGAACTTCAGGCTGAGAAACCCGGGGAGATTGTGCTGTGATCTAACTCGGGCCTGGCCCAGGCCACTCTGTGAGCTGTGTGCGCCATGGGCTCTCCATTTCCCCCAGTGTCCGTGAATAACACGATTTAAGTGGATGACAATCTTACACTCCCCTGGACTAAAATCCTCGCGGAAGGGGCCCCGCCTTCCCGCCCGCCTGCCCGCTAGCCTGCCCACCTGCCTGCCCCTCCCTCCGCGGTTCCGGCCCCGGGCCCCGCCCCTCCCCGGGCCCCGCGCCCCGCCCCTCCCGGGCCCCGCCCCTCCCCGGGCTCACCTATGGTCTTGATGACCGCCTCCTGGAACATGCGCTCTTCGTGCTCCTTGATGATCTTGGTGCCAAGACTGATGGCCCCATCGTAGCTCCCGGTCAAAGCGTAGTCGATGCTGAGCCGCAGCTGCCTCAGCAGAGTGTTGAACATCTCCAGCACCGTGGGCCCTGAGCGCAGCGGGGTGGGAGACCTGAAATCCGGGGCTGGCACTCCTCGCTGATTCTCCCCTGCCCTGCATTATCGGGCAAGCCCAGGCCCCCTTCCAGCCAGGGGCTTCCTCTGCCCACTACCTTCCCCGGCTGATTTCTCCTCCTGAGGAAAGCCGGCTCTGACACCTCCCTATCGTGCCTTGCCCTCTTCTGGAAGGGGAGGCAGCCTACGGTTAAGGGCAGTTCCTTGTCCTTGGGGGGGTCCCCTCCACTCCACTCGGGATCCCCCTTACCCACAGAGCCCGTGGCGGCGATGACAGCAGCTTCCGACAGGACCTCCACGATGCCCGCCCGCACCGTGGCCGCGCTGCGGCTGTTGGCATCCAGGTGGCTCAGGAGCTGCTGGATAACCAGGTGGGAGTGCTGCGGCTGGGGGGGAGGGAGAGGTGCTGGTCCCCAGATAGCAGCCCCCATATGGCCTCTGAGCCAGGGCAGCCCTCGACGAGGACCCAAAGCTGGGTGGACAAAAGGGAGGTCCCAAGGCTAGCAGGCACTAGAGGTGGCACCCGGATACCCCAGTTCCTTTTCCTGAGCCCCTCCCCCTCCTCGGTCCAACAAGGAGCTGAGTCAAATCCCAATGAAGACCTGGATTTCCACATTTTTCCTGGGCCCTTTCACTTCAAATGGGTCAAAAGTCAATTTTAAGATACTGTCTTCCTTTTCAGTTTCCCCAGATCCCAGGTCTTATTAAGGCCACAAGAGGCCAGGTGGTTTAGTCCAGTGGTGCTCGAAGTGTGGCCTGTGGTCTGGTGCCAGTTCAAGATCCGTCTGATGCCCATTTACATTGAGCTAAGTATGGAAATTGAGAGTAGGTGTTGAGTAAGCAATTTGACAGAAGCCGTGGCAGCCAATTATGGTCTGTGGGCTTGTGTTTTGCATGAGGTTGTCGTTTGTTTTTTCTAACAATTCTTTTTGTGTTTTATAAAGTATGGGTCTGTGACATATTGGAAATTAAACTAGTCCTTCTCCACGACCAGGTTAAGCAGCGCCGGTTTAGACAACTAGGGGCTTAGGAGAAGTCACAGAGGACAGCTGGTTTTCTCCAGGCGTGCACCGTTCCGCTCCGAGAGGCGCCACCTTGGCCAGAGGGACAGGCTGGACCAGGGGAGCCGCCGTACCTGAATTGAGTACATGATGATTTTAAAGCAACGGATGGCGAACACCTTGGGTTCCCAAAGAGAATGGTTATCCAGGTGGCTGTGAGGGAGAAAATATGGAGAGTAACTATGAAACGCAAGTGATGTTAGGAGGGAGAAGCTTGGTGGGAGAAAGTCACCCCCCAAGAGACCCAGCCCCTCTTGAAGCTCCCAGGTAAGTAGCAAGGGCTTTCAGGTGTAGGTGAGAGAAGGGAAGTACGAGAAGTCAACGAACAGGGTTCTGCAGCTGTGGGCTCAGGAATGAAGCCGGGCACCTTCCTCCTCCCAACTCCTCTCCCCAAAACTGTGCTCGGTCACCATGTGGCAGCTTTTTTTTTTTTTTTTTTTTTGGGGTACGAGGGCCTGTCACTGTTGTGGCCTCTCCCGTTGCGGAGCACAGGCTCCGGACGCGCAGGCTCAGCGGCCATGGCTCACGGGCCTAGTTGCTCCGCGGCATGTGGGATCTTCCCGCACCGGGGCATGAACCCGTGTCCCCTGCATCGGCAGGCGGACCCTCAACCACTGCGCCACCAGGGAAGCCCACCATGTGGTAGCTTTTGATGCCACAGTGCGGGGAACATGGGCACAGAGAAGGGACCCACTTGGCCGAAGCACCACAACTATAACACCTCCTTCCCTCCTCCCGAGTCAGCAAGGAGGTGCCGGACCTGAAACTGTTCAAAGCTGAAGGTGGGTGGGTGGGGAAGGGGAACACTCACACGAGAACAGGCTTGATGGCGTTTTTGATGTTGCCAAAGGCAGCCCGGCCCAGCAGTTCCCGAAGGCACCTCTCAGCCAGCTCTGCAGGGTTCTCCTTCTCCTTCTCTGGTGCTTGGAGGGGGGAGGGGGACCGGCTGTGGAAACACACAGCCCACGGGTGAGGGATGGAATGCACAGCTGGGCGTCGCTTTGTGCAGGCCTTCTGTGCTTCCCTCACGCAAATGGTCCCAGTAGGACAAGCAGGAATTTGACGTGGGCTGCACTAGGTCACAGGGGAGGTGTTGAGGCTGTCAGAAGTTAAATGGGGGTAAGGAAGCCCACAGTGGAGGAAGATTGTGGGAGGAGGGATAAAGTTCTTTTTCTGGACATTCTAGGGACAGGGCTGATGTGCCTCTGTGGGAAGGATAGATGCCCTGAGCACCATGGGCCTGGGGAGGTGCAGACCACGAGTGTCTCCATGCCCCCAAGGCTTTGGAAGGAACGACAGATTAGACAAGAAGAGAGGGAGGCCGACAGAGTTGGAGAAAGCAGAAGAAAAGGGGAGAGAGGAAGGAGGGGAAAAAGCGGGAAAGGCACGGGCGTTGGCTTAGTTAGGTGCGACTCAGTGGTACCCACCCACCTCCACCTGACACCACCAGGGAGCTTGTCAGTGAGATGCTATTCCAGGAACAACCACCAGAGGGCACACTAAATTTCCCAACCGGCTCTAGCAGCGCAGGCTCAACTGACAGAAAAGTGGGGAACCCACGATATCTTCAATCGGCGTCATGCCCAGCCGACATGGACAGCACCGTGAAACTCTCCCTCCATCCCACTTCACAGAGGGGAAGAGTGAGGGGCAGGGACAGGATGAATCCATGTCTGGGGGTTCCCAGATTAAAACCCAGTATCTGTAACTCGTGTCAAGTGGCTGCTGGCTGGTCAAGTGGGCATTTCTAAGGGACTGGAACACCACTAGGAAGTGAGAGAGAAGAAAGGTCCTCCTCAGCAACTGGAACCATGAAAGGCATTTAAAAACCTCCTTGGCCTGCTGCTTCTAGAAAGACCAAGGGAACCCGACTCTTGGTTCTTTGTGTTCAGCACACACTTACCCCAGGGAGCCCAGCACCATTACTGTTTCTCCTTCAGGAATGCAGACCTTAAGGGGTACAGCAGGCTGGTAGAAGGCCAGAGCCAAGGCTCCTAGGGAAGCAGCTTTGGACTCACTGCAGAACAAGCCACAAAAGCCAAGAGCCCTGACTTTGGGGCTGGGTTTTACCAACCAACCCAGCCGTGTGGTTGCCAAGTGCCCTGGGAGGGCTGCAGGGCCGCGTGCAAGCTCCCCCCTCTCCTGCTCACCTCTCTGCCTCCTCCACGTGTTGCAGATTGAAAAGCAGGGATGGGACGATCTTGTCCATGTGCTGTGGGTCCCAGATATTAGCCTGCAGTTCATCATTCACGGTCTTCCTCACCACCCCTTGTAGACCTTTGATACCTGACATTCGGATTCTGTAAGGAAAAGGGAGACATGGGGTCATGAAGTCTCCAAGCCCTGACAAGTCCAGCTTCTGCGACAAGGAGAGGAGTACAGCGAGGGGATTAGGGATGCACTCGTCCCTCAAAAGGCAGAACAGAGCCCACCTTCTACTCTTCATGTGACTTGGCCTCCTGGCTGGCCGCCTTCTTGTGCTGGTGGATGTGAGCACGAAGGCCACGTCTTCTGGCTTGTCTTGGAGATTCCCAGACAGCCCTTGCCCCGTACCACCCGGGCTTCATCCCTAGGGTGCCCAGTTTCTCCAGGCTCTTTAATACCCAGCTGGGTTTTCTCTAGCTTGAGCCCAAGATATAAGAGCTCAAAGTGCTGCCAAGAACGGATGAGGCAGAAACCAGGGCTGTGAGCAACTTACAGGGGGAGGGGATCTGGAGGGGGAGGGGATCTGGAGGGGGAGGCACAGAGCTGTCAGGCTCTCAGGCACAAAGAGGTCTTGGCTGGGACTAAGCTGGCTGAGAAAGCAGAGGGGAAATGAGTAAGAGCACAGAGGGGACCCCTTTTGCACGTCCCCAGTTCCCACTCTGCTGACTCAGGGATCAGCACAGCCCTGCAGGAGGCGGCCCTCTTTACCGGCCATTTATTTCAACCTGAAGTTCCTTTTTTTAACCAAACCTTTTTTTTTTTCCCTGATTATAACATAATACACGCTAATTATAGAAAAGTGTAAAGATGATTTCCCCTGCCATCGCCGCTCAAAGATAATTATCATTGGCATTTTGGTGTCTTTCCTTTCTTCTGTGTATAAACGTATAACAGGATCAAGAACCTGCTGCATATGTAATTTGTATTGGCTTTTTTCACCTATAGCATTCTATCACAAGCATTTCCCTGCATCATTAATTCACAAACATGTTGAATGGTTATGTGCTACACTGTCAAAAGAACTTTCTGAACTAGTCGCCTATTGGTCATTTAAGTTGTTTCTAAATCTGCTTCTGTAATAATGCTGCAACGGACATCGCTGTACAAAGTACGTTACTACCTTCCAAATCATTGCCATGAGGAGAATTACTGAATCGAAAGGTAAGGAATGAAAGGCTCCCAGTTTTGGCAGATTCCTCTCCCCACGCCCACTGCACAAGCTGCAGGAGAATACCGTCCTCGCTGTGCCTGCCTCAGCACCAGGGACCTCATTCTAAACATCTACTCTAATTTTGTGGCTCAGAAAAACCCTCACATCTTGTAGCGATTTCACTTCGTATCCTTTTGGTGATTATTGGAGTTGAGCAGTTTTTCTAAATATTTAGTTGCCATTTGTCATTTCAGCTTCAGTTTTACGTGCTGTTACCACGGCGCTACCCTGAGCTTTACGCGGAGACCATAACTGGGTGGTGAGAGATGCCTAATGCACCACCATCCCCTGGCCCAGGACCATTAGGGCTGCTGGCAATGGACAAGGATTCCCTGGGCAAACACTTAGCTACTCCAATCCTGAGCCAAGTCAGCACTCTGAGCTGAGGCTGTCCGGACTTGAGGACGAAGTAACTGTAATACAATTCTGCTAACTATTCCTGGCTCCAGGTTAAAGGTGCTCCCTAGTGCATTACAGAAATAAATCCCAGACATGCTGGGCTCATGTCCCACCCAAGAGAGCCTGGCTGGCAGGAGACCAGGCCCAGGGGATGGAAACTTTTCTACCCAGGGCTTCCTTATGTGTGACTGAATTAATTTTTCTTCACTCTTTCAATCTCCCCAGAATCCCTTCCACATAGGTACACATTTCATTCCATGATGCCCAGAGCTGACTGATCAGGCCTGGGGGAGAAGCAGCCTCTTACTGTTCCTTATAATGGGCTCAGTGGAGGCCTGCCCACGTGCAAGGGGCTGAGAAGTCTCTGAACCCAAGGGGACTACACACACACACACACACACACACACACACACACCTATTCATGAGACCCAAGGGTAGTTCTTGGAAAGGAGCTCTGGGCTCTGCAAAGGCTGCGAAGGACCGGGGGAGAGCTCAGGGAGAAGGGGAGGGGTGCAGGGAGGTTATGGATGGGAGACAAGACAAAGGGAGAAACTCCTCTCACCCCGGCAGCCTTGCTTCCATGGGTGGCAGGTGCCAGGCTGTGGGTGCTGATGGCACTGCCCGGTGGCCAGAAGCAAACCTCAGCACCCTTCTCCTGACCTTCAGTCGCTCCCCACACCATCAGGACATGGTGCGACCGTGTCTGCTTCTGTGCCTCCTCCCCTGCTGTGGAGTGTGTGTGTGCGGTTGTACGTGTATGAGTGTGTGGTTTGTGTGAGAGTGTGGTTATGTATGTGTGTCATACAGTCAGTGTATGTGACTGTATGTGTGTGTGCAGTTCCGCAGGCCACTGTATGTGTGTGCACATGTGGTTGTGTATGCAGTTGTGTGATTATGTGTGTGAGTGTGTGTAGAACGGCATGACGAGTGTCCCCTCCCCTCCTGGAGCTTGGCTCTACCTGCGGTCAGCACCTGTTACAGCCACACCTGGTCACAGTCCCCCCCTTCCCCATCACCTGCTTCTGGACACACCCCACCTGCTCCAGCCCCTTCTGCCTCTTCACAGCCGTTCTGGAGCGAGGTAGCTGCTGAGGGAACCAGCGCTGGGGAGACAGGGGCTCCTTCCTCCCGTGACCCCCACTGGCCCCACTGAGGCACTGCAGCAGCACAGCCCCAGGGAGCCCCTGGCTGGTCCAAGACAGGCGAGACTGGGGAGCAGGGACACTGCCATCAGTCACACAGGGTCCTGCCCTGGAGCCGTTTCACAGCTTGGAAGCTTTGGGAACAGGCAGCCTGGGGGATGGAGGGGTTCACGTCCTGTTTCTCCGACCCAGACCAGCAGCCGTGGTGAGGAAGCTGTAGTTTAGGGGCACACAGGGCTCCCGGGCCGTGCCATTGCGTATCACGTGCACTCGGGCCCACTGCGGTGCTGACGTGATGCAGGAAGAAGCCAGGGGCTGAGCTCTGGAACAAAGCCATGGAGACCCAGTCTCCCGTGGGCATGTCGGCCACCCAGCCTCAGCCCCCAGTCCCTCCCTTCTCCGACTCCTGCAGCTTTGCCTGGTAAGGACAGCTCAGCCCTTTTCCCTCCTTCCTCCTCCTTTTCCTGTGTTTCATTTCGCCTCCCCAGGTTGATAAGCACTCTTTGCAGGCAGTGGTTTACTTCTCATCCTTCATCTATCGGTATCAGCATACATTTGTGTGAATTTCTTTGTGATTTCATTGAGGGGTTTAATTTCTATGTCAATGAGTGTATTTCTGTAAGTTAAGTATTTTTTGTGAGTGTGAGTATGTGTGTGTAAAAGTGTGTTCTGTAATTCAAGATGTTTATCTGAAAAGCATCCTTTCCTTCATTCACTTACTCAACAAGTATGTCGTGAGTGCCTGCTGCTCTCCAGGCACTGTCTTAGCACTTGGGATGCGTCAGAGAACAAAACAATGACTCCTGTCCTCACAGAGCTTACATTCTAGTGGGGAGAGACAGACAATGAATGAGAAACATGTAAATTATGGAACATGTTTGAAGGGGATGAGTGCTATGGGGAAATAAAAACAGAGCAGGGTGAGGGAGAAGGGGAGGGTCAGGGGAAGGCGTTGTTGACAAGGGGACACTTGAGCAAAGCCTTGAAGGAGGTGAAGGAGTGAGCTGTACAGCTCCACAGAGGAAGCATCCCAGGCACAGGAACAGACTGTGCAAAGGCCCTGTGGCAGGAATGTCCCTGGTGTGTTTCCAAGGCAGCACGGAGGCCTGTGTGGCCGAAGGGAAATGAGGAGGGGAAGAGCGGAGGAGATAAACTCAGGAGGGTGGCAGGGATCAGCTTTTTATATGTGGGTGTATGTTTTGATGGAGAGTGGAGTGGGAGTGTTTCTAGGGTGTATAAAGGCATGCACTTCTGAACAAAAGAGAGCACAGGTGCGTACATGTGTGTGTTACTGGCTCTCAAATTGGGCTCAGAGGACCGTCACCTTACGTCCCACCCTGTTTTCTGTCCCCAGAGGCTGTTCCTTTAGAAAGCATGTGCTGGGAGCCTAGCTCTGCCCACGCATCCATCTAAGTCCCGCCAGGTGCCCCTTCCCCACCAGCAACATCAGAGCCTCGGTAAACGCCAGTGAAATCAGACACGCAATCCGGGCTGGGAGCTCTGCAGGACCATCAATGCCTCTGCCATTAGAGGCACAGCCTCCTCAACTTCCCTTATACTCACTTAGTCTTGATCTCCAAGTCTTCATGGCCAGAGTGGCACATTTCACTGAAGCGAGACACGAAGAAATCGTAGCTCCGATGGTAGGATGGGGTGTCCTCCTCTATGTTGGCAAACTTCACAAACTGTGTGGGGGGAGAGGGGAAATGCATCGTGAGGTGACCCGCCATGCTCCTCGCCTTTGGGCTCGGGGACCTGGCATCCCCCAGGCCCTTTGCCATAGTAAAGCCACAAGAAAACACATCTTAGGAACCATGCATCTCAGGATCTGGCTATAGTCCACCTCCCAGAGCACACTCGGGAAATCTGAGTTTCTGAGTTCTCCTTTCCTTTCTACACAACAAGAGCAGAACCCCTGGCCCTTCTCAGCCCTCCCCTGCTGGGTGAGCAGAGGATGGAAGAGAAGAGAAAGAGAAGGGGGCTCAGTCACTTAAGTTCCTCCTCCCATTTACATCCAGAGCTGGCCCAAACATACAGGCTGAAAGGCTGTGAGGAATAACGCTGGAAACTGAGCAAAAGCCAAGGCCAAAGCACAGAGCACCACCCTAGAATGCATTCTGGGAAACCAGGACAGCGCTGAAATTTGATTTAAAACCGTAATTACGCTTTATTGTTAAAATTTTGAGTACACTTTTAACGTTTGCAATTTCGGTTCATTAAGCCTTGCTCAGCATTCTCAGCCGCTAGATCCCTTCTGTCATCACCAGGCTGCACATTTGCAGCTCTAAATAGGGACTTGATTTCAAATGAGTCTCTCAGAGAAGCAAGAATCACAGACTGAGTGGAGTTAAATTACTAAAAGTTAAATATAATTTTTATAGGTTATTTTGTTTAATGTTATGAATTTAATACCACAAACAACTCTAAACGGACTAAACTTAGACTACATTCTCCACTATTCTGCCTTGTATTATTATATAACTTTTACAAACCTTCGTTGGTTCAAAGAGGACCTACTGTTATTCCTAAAATCATCTCATCAGCGCACTCAGAATATTGAGTATCAATTGTCAACCTGTTTCCCCATTTAACTACTTAAAAGTTGTTAGTAACTTTTTTGGGGATGAAAATTAGCAACTTCCACAAGCATCCTTACTATTACAGTGTTTTGTTCTTGCAGTAATAAATATGCATTTATTTTCTGCTGAATCATAAAACCTCAACATGCAAAGCAGATAAGGAAATCTTCCCTTCTAAATTACATCTAAAATGCACACATATATGCGGAAGTATTCTGATATTAGCAATAAACCCAAATGACATTGCTTGCATCATTGACGGGGTTATGCAGAAGAGGCACAGTGGTAATCCATGTGATCACAAGATCATTGATTAGACCCAAGTTCAGGAGTTCCAGAAACAACGATAGAGCTGGCCTTTGGCTACGTGATCTTCCTAAGCCCCACGGGCTAGAACACAGACTTAGGCTGATACCGAGGCTGAAACTAAATTTGGGTGCACTGCTGCTCTTAACCACCAACAGGATGTTCCCAGGCTGCACTCCCCACGGCCAAAGCCTGGCTTGGTCCATCCACTGAGAGGGGTCATGCAGCTATGCGGTTCTAACCGCAGATCTACCTCTAACTGGTGGGGTGACCTTTGAGTGGGACATTTGACTTCTCTTCTGTCTTGGTTTTCCCATGTGTGAAATAAGCAGCCCAGTCTTCATTCACGACATTTCTTGATTTTTTATCGATGCTATATCTACTTCAAATGTGACGAGGCAGCTTAAGATAAGACTATGTGTATGCGAGAGTGCATGCATTTCAGAATAATCAGAACAAGACTGAAAAAGAAAGGAGGCCAGTAATAAAGGAGAAACAGTCAAACAAAGACTTTGTCCCCAATATATAGTGACTGTGTAAACCCAAATGTACGTCAGGAGAATGAATAATCAGACTTCATGGTCACTGGTGTAGGAGTTTATGGGCTAATAGCAATGATATTTAGAACATATATGTATCAGGTACTACCCTAAGCATTTGACATACATCAGCTCTTTTGTTTCTTAAAATGACTCTAAGTTAGAGAGATATTATTATTCTCATTTTACAGAGAGACTGAGACCCACAAATGTTACATAATTGCCCAGGGTCCTGCAGGAGAAACCCAGGTCTCAACCACGAGCCTCTCCAACAGAGCTCTGCCCAGAAAACCTCCAGCTCTGTTCCTGCTCCTGGCTTCCTCTAGCGCCTCAGGCCAAATGACCCAGGAGAGTTGCTCTGGGGAGGTGAGGGTGGTGGATATTGTCAGGGAGAACAAACAGAGGATGAAGAAGCCGCCAGAGGGGACCTTAGTCTGGCATTTGTAAGAGGGCTGCAGAAGTGAGGCCACTGGTTTCCAAACACTGCTGTACAACAGAGTCGAGGGGTCTCCGTGACCATGCAGATATCTGCCACAAGCCCCAGACGTGCTGAGTCAGCACTGGAGGAGATTCACCTGGTCTGAGGCTCACGCTTGAGAAATGCAGCAGGATCCCTGACAGGCAACCTGGCGGCCTCCCTTCCCTCTGGCCCCGCTCCCCACGCTGATACTTCATGGAACGATTCCTGATCTCTGTGGACGTGACATCAAGCCTCTTCACTTTTTTTTTTTGGCTGTGCCACGTGGCTTGCAGGATCCTACTTCCCTGAGCAGGGATCGAACCCCCATCCTCGGCAGTGAAAGCATGGAGTCCTAACCACTGGCCCACCAGGGAATTCCCAAGCCTCTTCACTTTCAACCTTGACTTTCCCCTTCCTCCAGTGCCGTGGAACCTCGAGGACTGGTGGCGCGTCAGGTGGCATGGCCGGAGCCCTGTTCACGCCCAGTCTGCTCTGACTGTTTTCCGCACCGTACAGGCTGCTGAAGATTTCGACTACGACGCCCTGGCTGCAAGGTTAAAGTGGAGATTACAATCAATTTCTTTTAATTAATTAATTTTATTTATTTATATTGGCTGCATTGGGTCTTCGTTGCTGCGTGCAGGCTTTCTCTAGCTGCGGTGAGCGGGGGCTACTCTTAGTTGTAGTACGTGGGCTTCTCATTGCAGTGGCTCCTGTTGTTGCGGAGCACGGGCTCTAGGTGCGGGGGCTTCAGTAGTTGCGGCACACAGGCTCAGTAGTTGTGGCTCGCGGGCTCTCGAGTGCAGGCTCAGTAGTTGTGGCATGTGGGCTTCAGTAGTTGTGGCATGCAGGCTTCAGTAGTTGCGGCACACGGGCTCAGTAGTTGTGGCTCGCAGGCTCTAGAGCGCAGGCTCAGTAGTTGTGGCACACGGGCTTAGTTGCTCTGCAGCATGTGGGATCTTCCTGGACCAGGGCTCAAACCCATGAACAAGTGCACCACCAGGGAAGCCCCAATTTTTTAAAAATGGAACATTCTGTGATAGCCACAGAGGTAACGCAGGGTAGAAAACACGCATGGGGATTCCTTTCCTAGAACTACAGAGGCTTTTTTCTAGGCCGGCCCAGCAGTCACTCCTGAGTCTCCCCTAGCTGGGCCGGCCACAGCTGCTAAGCTCACTGGAAAATTCCCTCACTCTTTTCTCTCGTGACTCTCTGCATCCCCAGATTTTTACTCTTCTAGAGTCTTCTTCCCTGGAAACTTAGTTTTGAGTCTCCTTCTCAATTTTCGATTTTAACATGATGGTGCTCTATTTAAGTGGACTATACTCGCCTACATCTGCCGGGCCCACAGTCAGACAGCCGTGTCCTCACTCTGCTTCTTGTCACCTGTGTGCCTGTGCACATCGTTTAGCTTCTGAGCCACTGTTTCCTCATCTGAAAAATGGGGGTGATGGGGCCTATGTCACCAGGGTTAAACGAGGGATGTATGCAGAGCCTGCCCAGAGGAATGCTCAGGGCTCTGCGCTGCAGTGAGCATGGTGATAGGGGTCTTTAATGGTCTGCTCATCAACTCCGGTCCTCGGCTCTGGTGCAGTGTGACCCTTGTCCTTTCCAGCCAGACAATCACAGAGGAGGAGCCCAGATGGGCAGCGTGAACCATGCAGGTGGCCATGCAGGATGCCGGGGGCAGGTGTGAATATGGAAAGAAGGAAATGAGTTAACAGCCACCCTGGTGCCCGAGGGTGGGAGTTGAGGACGGTGGCAGAAGGCAGGGAAGTTGGAAGATGAGGGCCAAGCCCCCTGAAGCACCCTTCGGGAACCGAAGGTCAGTTAGTGCAATAGGATGGGACAGAGCCCAGCACCGAGAGACAACGAGGTGGGGCTCGATGGGAGCTCTGGGCAGCCGGCACAGCAAAACCGGGAAGATGTGGCCGAGCATTTGTTTTCATCTCTTTAAAATGCATATATCACCTCCTAGGAATGTGAATGAGGTGGAGATAATTAAGAAAAGCTCCCTGAGTTCCTGGGATAACAGGAACTGAGTGAATTCAAGGCTTACTGTAAGTGAGGTTCCTAGTTCTAAGAGGCTTAAACTTTTTACGGTCCGGCAGGACTCAGCACCGCACAGTCGTGGAATGAGCGTCTGCGGGGCAACGTACAAATACATTCAAGACACTGCTTCACAGACAGCACTCCACTCTCCACGCGCCTGCCGCTCCACTTCATTAGAAAAACAATTTCGAATATGGTTATTGTGAAGCATGTTTGCTTTGTTTTGACTCATACTGTGTTCCGTTGGGAGCCTTCAAAATATTCCTTGAAGAAGCTATTTATAGACACAGGAGTTTGTGTCTGGAGGAGCCACACCAGGCCCCGTGCCCCATCTCTAACGTCACGTGTGGATGGCAGCACTCTGGGAAAGGAGTTAACGCCTATATTCTGAGAAATGACAACATTAAATATTTCTATGGCACTTGCCGCTCAGGCATCATGTTAGTTTCCCGGGGCTGCATGCCTCCAGTCTCTGCCTCTGTCTGCATATTGTTTCCTCCTTTGTGTCCAATCTCCCCCTGCTTCTCTCTTCTAAGAGCCTTGTGATTGCATTTAGGGCCGACCCGGATAATCCAGGATAATCTCTCCATCCCAAGATCCTTAACTTGGTCACATCCGCAGAGACCCTGTTTCCGTATCAGGTGACATCTGCAGGTTCCAGGGATTGGCACGTGGACATCTTTTGGGGGACCATTTTCCAGCCGACTGAAACATCCATTACCTGACATAATTTTTGGCAAACCAGCGAG